CATGCAGGGCGGCGGCAGAGCGGGGGAGAGAAGGACGACCACCTCAGTCAGCAGGCGAAGATCGGCAGGAAAGAACTTTCCGTCGTCGCGGACGCCTGCCCCCCGGGCGGCTGGGAAGCTTCTACTCCTACTTGAGGGGTGAAAAGACGACCCTACCCTGGGTTACAAGTGTGTGGTCTGTAAACCTCCTGGGAACCCCCCAAAGCCTAGAACCGCGAGGACGCGGCACATCACGCAGGGTTTACACTGTCAGCCCACAGGAGTTTCAGCGCACAACGCCTCGTAAACCAGGGTAGGGGCGTTTTTTTATGCCCTTGACCTACGGTGCCCCGTGGGGGTACAGCCCTTCCAGCCGCCCGGGGGGAGGCGTCCCCGACGGTGGAAAGCTTCTTTCATACCGTTCGTCGCCCACTGACTCAGACCAGGCAGTTCTTCAAAGGCGTGCTGCGACCCAGGCTCGAGCGAGTGAGACCGTCAAAGCACGCCTCAGGATGAAGAGCCGGTCCAGGGGAAGGGGTCGCAACCTCCGACGGCGACGCCTGGAATACGAGACCACCACGGCGAGCCATCGCGAGGCGCACGGGGAGAAGCGTTTGCCAGACTCGGGCGGAGCTACGCGCTACGCAGACACATCGTCGCCCTCGCGCAGCGTCGTTACCACCCACCCGCCCACCCACCCACCCACACACACACACACACACACACACACACTCACACACAGCGTCACAATGGTCAGGTACGCGGTGGAGGTGCACACCATGCTAACCTGTGGACGCGTACCCTATATCGTATGATACACGTCGTTGATCATTATATGGCACAGACCGATACGCAAAAATATGCTCCGTGGCCTGCCATGGTACCCTATGATGCGCAACGGCATGTTCTGCCGTAATACGACTTGTCATGTGATGCTGAGCAACAGCGTGTGCGGGATTCGGATATGGTATGGTGTTACATGCGAACGCGTCTTCCACTCATTTGCTGTGCTATGCCACCATACGAAAATACGACGTGCTAGCCAATACGACGCTACGCGATGCAATGCACAACTATTACATGGTAAGATGTGCCATACCAAGCAAGGCTATGTGGTATACAACACTGCGGGCATGACATGCTATGCAATGTTATGCTATGAGGTCATCTGCTACCTTACGCAGTAAGTAAGCTGCGTGCTGCTGAGTTGCAGGCCAGCGGGTTGCAGGTTATGACATGCCATTGCATGCAAGGCCCACGTGTGCCCTCAGCAAAAGAATACGCCTATGGGGACGCGCGCTGGGCTCGTTGGTTTCAAGGGACTTTCTGGAGACCGCCAGATGTCAAGGCTCGTATGGCACCTGTCTTCCAGACCAGCTCCCTGTGCTGCAACTGTCTGCCACCGTCCCCCATCTCCTCCTCCTCCTCCTCCTCCTCCTCCTCCTCCTCTCCTCCTCCTCCTCCTCCTCCTCCTCCTCCTCCTCCTCCTCCTCCTCCTCCTCCTCCTCCTCCTCCTCCTCCTCCTCCTCCTCCTCCTCCTCCTCCCGACACCGCCCGAGGCCACGGGCCAGCCGCCACATTGAGAGCCCCCAGAGCTCGCCCCGGGACACCAGACCTTGCCTCCGCGCTGGATCTCCCCCCCCCTGGCGCGTGGAGCTCGCCAGGGGCGGCGCTGGAGTCGGCTACACACAAGAGTGACCCTGAGTAAGAGTGACCCTTGGTGCGCGGCTTTTTGGGACCGCGGGGGGGCCAAGAACAAGCGCGCAGGCCGCTGCTGCCGCTCCTCTTTCGGCCATCTGGGGGCCCATCTGTGCCCGCACCATAGGTCACTCTGGCGAAAGGTCACTCTTACGCCTAGTCGATGGAGGCGCCGCCAGGGGACTCCAGCACCGATTCAAGAAATCCGAACGGACCGTCGAACACGACGAGATTATCTTTCCGTCTTCGAGCGCGTGGTTCGCAAGCACCGGCGTCCATGGACGCGAATTCCTGTACTGCGGCGCGCTGTTGGCGCGGCTGGCGGGCCGACGGAATCCATAGCCTGCGGTACACGGACCGCGTTGGCGAGGGGCGTCTCGGCAAGGGCGGCGGGGCGCGCCCGAATCGCTCGCGCGGCCCCCGCCTCTGAAGACCAAATCCCACCATCCCTCTGAGCGTAGGTGGTTTCACGGATTTTGCCGTCTCTCGCTGCCAAAACCCCTCCTTCCCCTGCTCGCGGAAGAGTTTTTATCCCTCCCCCTACCCCTACCCCCTCCCCAGGGCCTGGGATGGGGGGGGCCGCGAGGCGCTAGAGCCCACATGATCGCCAAAGATGGCTCCAGGAGGGCCTCAGAGACCCCAAGATGGCCTCCAAGATAGCGCGCTGGAATCGCTCGCGCGGCCCCCGCCTCTGGGAGACTAAATTGCCCGAGCAGAGCACCCTGATGGCAGGAAAGGTGAAGGCACGGGTCGAGGAGTAGGAGGCTGGCCGCGGGGGACTGGGGCGACGAGGGCACGGCCCTGCGCTCCCAGGGCGCACCCGTTCATAAGAAAAGGTCGCGGCCGCCTGGACCAAGCACCGGGGGGGGGCGAGGGGAAGGGAGGGGAGGGGAGGGGAGGGGAGGGGAGGGAGGGGAGGGAGGGGAGGGAGGACAAACTATGTGCGCTCGCGTCATATCTGACGTCCTACCCCTCCCTCCCATCCCTTACCATGGCGTTGATTTTCTCTATCCGCGGACGCGTGTCGTAGCGGACCTGTGGCTCCGCGCGCGCGTGCGTAGTGGGTGTTTTGGTGTGTTGCGTGCGGTGCGTGTGTTGCGTGCGGTGCGGGTGTGCGAAGGGTTGTGGTTTTGTGGTGTGTGGTGTGGTGGTGGTGTGTGGTGGTGGTGGTGGTGGTTCTGGTGTGTGCGTGCGTGCGTGCGCGTGTGCTGTGATGTGACGTGGTGTGGCGTCTTGGTGGTTTGGTGGTGGGCCAGGTGCGTGCGTGCGTGATGGCGGTGGTGGTGGTGGCGGTGGTGGTAATTGTGCGTGTGCGTGTGCGTGTGCGTGTGCGTGTGCGTGTGCGTGTGCGTGTGCGTGTGCGTGTGCGTGAGCGTGTGCGTGTGCGTGTGCGTGTGCGTGTGCGTTTGCGTGTGCGTGTGCGTGTGCGTGTGCGTGTGCGTGTGCGTGTGCGTGTGCGTGTGCGTGTGCGTGTGCGTGTGTGTGTGTGTGTGTGTGTGCGTGTGCGTGTGTGCGTGCGTGCGTGCGTGCGTGCGTACGTGCGTGTGTGTGTGTGTTGTGTGTTCGTTGTGTGCGTTGTGTGTGTGTGTTGTGTGTTGTGTGTGTGTTGTGTGTGTTGTGTGTGTTGTGTGTGTGTTGTGTGTTGTGTGTGTTGTGTGTTGTGTGTGTTGTGTGTGTTGTGTGTGTTGTGTGTGTTGTGTGTGTGTTGTGTGTGTGTTGTGTGTGTGGTGTGTGTGGTGTGTGTGGTGTGTGTGGTGTGTGTGGTGTGTGGTGTGTGTGGTGTGTGTGGTGTGTGTGGTGTGTGATGTGTGTGTGTGTGTGTGCGTGCGTGCGTGCGTGCATGCGTGCGTGCGTGCGTGCGTGCGTATGTGTCTGCGTGCGCGCGCGTGTGATGTGGTGTGACGCGGTGTAGCGTGGTGGTGGTGGGTGGGGTAGTGGGGTGGTGGTGGCGGTGCGCGGTGGTGGTGCGCGTGCGTGCGTGCGTGCGTGCGTTGGTGGGTGGAAGTGGCGGTGGGCGGGGCGGGGCGCGGTGCGGTGGTGGCGGGCGGATGGGCGCGCGAGAAAGAGGCCCGCGCTGGGGCGAGAATGCCATCCTGAACAACGGAGGCAAAACACCGATCCGAAAATGAGGCCCACGCTGCAGCGGGAGCACGATTCGGAACGAGCGGAAGCCCGAAAATGAGGCCGGCGCCTCAGCGAGAGCAGCATTTTGAAAACAAAAAAAAAACCAAGCGAAAACCCAACTCCGGGAAATCCTGTGTAAAAAACAGTACGCGGAGGGGTGCCCGCCATCTTCCGCACGCCATCAGGGGAGGGAGGAGAGTGTATTCATGTTGAGCAATTGCGGAGGGAGGGGAGGGAGGGGAGGGGAGGGAGGTGACACGGCTACCGGGCCAAACGAAGTCCAGGGGCGGGGGGGGGCGGCCTCGGGCTCTCCCCGTGCCCCCCTGCGGGCCTACTCGGGCGCCCCTGTTTCTGCCTCCAGCAGAAGAGGGCCACATGGCGAACCCTACCCCCATACCTGCGGGACGGGAGAATGACCACAGCCACTGCTTCTTGTCTGCGCCGCCTTCCAGCCGGCCGAAAAAGAAGCGGTGGTTGTGGTCATTTCCCTGGTGCCAAGCTCAACGAAAACGACCACAACCACAGCTTTGTTTCTGCGGGCTGGAAGGCGGCAACAAAAGAAAAGCAGTGGCTGTGGTCGTTTTCACGCCCCGTAATACCCCTCCACGACTCCTGAGGGGGAGGGTGGGGTTCACTTCGTTCGGGAGCGCCCGAGCGATGTGAACCCCGCCCTCCCCCTCAGGAGTCGTGGGGGGGGGTAGGGGGTAGGGTTCGCCATGTGGTCCCCGAAGTAGAGCTTTCAAGGTGACGCGCTCTCGGGGAAGAAGCAGATGAGCGCACACCTCTGGGGGGTCCAACTCCCAAGATTGTCTCCACGGTGGTTCCACTTCAGACAACGTCAACTCTGTAGCCCAGCAGCCTCCCCAGGAAGCCCCGAATGGGAAAGAGCAGCAAAGTCCATCGTCGCGAGTGACCTATTACGTGGCTCGGCGGAATGACGAAAGCCTTCTGGGTAGACATTCAAGATGCGCGGAGGTTCGCGCAGACTTTTTGTCGGCGCCGGGGCGCCCCTCCCCGCACCCTTTCCCTGGGGCCGCCAGGGCCCCCGGGGGCGTGGGGAGGTGGGTCCGGCGCCGACACGCGAAGCCCACGCGGACCTCCGAAAGTGTATGCTCGAGCCGCTCCGTCCTCTGGTATTACTCTGGCCTGCGGAGTTGGGCAGCTCGGGCGACGAGGAACGCCCAGGCTGGCTTCATGGCTCAAGCCCTGCAGTTGCCGCTCGGGTTCGCCCTGCGGCACGCCGCGGCGTACTGGTCGCAGTTGCGGCAGTCGTCTCCATTGCCTCCTTGGCCATTGCCCTGCATCCACCCACAGGAGTTCCCGCTCGCGTCAGGACTCGGATTGGTGACGTAGGCTGCGGACCAAAACTGGCAGGTGGACTGGGCTGGGGAGAAGAAGTAGCCGTTCAGAACCCTGCAAGTCCTCGCGCACGCGGTGTCCTGGCAGAAGTCGTCGCAGTAGTTGCAGTTGCACTCCTGGCCCTGGCCTCCACAGTAAATGCCAGACAGCTCCGTGCAACCGGGGCCGCTCGAGCTGGTGGTCCGAGTCGTCGTTGTCGTCGTCGTGGTCGTGGTCGTGGTCGTCGTCGTCGCCGTAGTGGTGACGGCAGGGCCGGAGGGGGTGCAGTACAGGTAGCACTCGCCGGCCCACTCCCGGCACGGCAGCGCCGCCCTGCCGGAGCACGCCTGCCCCTCCGCGCAGGAGGCGTTCAGGAAGTCGCCGCCGCCCCCGAAGCTGCCGCACAGCCCGCGGCAGATGCTCTGCGCGCCCGGCGGGGAGCCCGCGGCGGGGGGCACGCACACCAAGCCGCCGGCGCAGTCGCCGTAGAAGTAGCCGGTGGAGCCGCTCCTGCCACGCTCCAGATCGGTCGGCATCGGATCGGGAGACCGGATCGGATCGGAATGTACGTCGGATCGGGATGCATCGGCACGGGGTCGAAGTCGAATCGGCTCGGCTGCGCCTTGACACACGACTACGCTGTGCAGGCATCGGGCCGCATCGGATCGCCATGACATCGAGACCGGACCGGGTCGAGCAGGGTGAACTGGCCGTCGAATCGGATCGATCGAACCGAAACCCTGCAGCGCTCCAGGAGGGGGGTCCCCCGATTCTGACTCCGGCAGGACTGGGTTCAGTGGGACCTGGCTGCGTGCTGCGCACGGGGGGGCGCTCCCCCGGCCCAGCCCGCTGGCCAGAACTGCCGCCACCCGAAGACACTGCGGCTGCGGCGGCAGCACAGGCCGGCTCCCCTCACGGCTGGCGTCGCAGAGATAGCGTGCCAGAAGGAGCTCCGAAAAAAGCACGCCGCCCGCGTGAGGCGATCCCCCCGCGAGGGCCCCCTCTGCGCACGCTCTCCCCCCCGAAGGGCCTCGTCGGTGCACGCTGTCCCCCCGGGAGGGCTTCTTCGGTGCACGCCTCTCCCCGAGCGGGGGGATCGCGGAAGGCAGCGGGAGGGCGGCGGCAAAACGAGGCCGCCTGCGTTCGGCGCAAGCTGGCGGACAAGACATCCGGGCCCCTGCGACACGAGCGGGCTCGCCCCAACCTGCGGCAGGAACCTACAGGCCAACGTGGCTGGGGACAGCAGCCCGCCTCGTGGTTCCGGGCAGGCACGCGGCAGAAGCAGGAGGTGCGCCCCCAAGAGATGGCACCACTTTGGGGTTCAGGGCTTCTGGCATCCGTCCCATCCCAGGTGCTCGACCGTGGACCCCTTGTCACCCCTCGCTCCTGGGCCGTCCTCGGCGGCCTGCGGCGACCCGCGGGCGGTCCTCGGCGGTTCCCGGCGGTCTTTGGCGGCTTCCAGCGGCCTTCGGCGCGAGCGCTGGATGGCTGCGTCCAACAAGGGGCCCATAATCGAACACCTAGCCTTGAGTCGGGCCTGTCCCCCCACAGGCGGATTATGGACGAAAAATAAACAATAGTCAAAAGAGACCCTGAAAGATGCCAAAATGCTCGAAAAATCGTCCCCTGACCATTTCTTACTGTTTTTGAATATTCCCCCCGTAGAGGGACAGGCCCGACTGAAACCTAGCTCTGTCCAGTCAACCTCCGCCTTCCGCACGCTCCGCGCGGCGGGTGCCGCCGCGGCACGGCCGCGGCGGCCACCGAGGCCGCCGTCGGGGCCTGGAGACGGCGGCCGCCGTCGCGGCTGTGGCGGGGCACGCGGCGCGCGGAGGGTGCGAGGAGTGCAGGTCGAGGGGAGGCACACACAACAGAACTTTGGGAACAAAAACTCTAGGGGGCCACAGGCGAACCCTACCCCTACCCCCCACGATTTCTGAGGGGGAGGGTGGGGTTCACCTCGTTCGGGAGCTCCCGAGCGAAGTGAACCCCACCCTCCCCGCAGAAATCGTGGGGGGTAGGGGTAGGGTTCGCATGTGCCCCCCTAAACGCCCCGACCCTGGGTTACGAGTCCGTGGTGAGTAAACCTCCTGGGAACTCCCACCGGCCAGAGAGCCGCCAGAGGACGCCGCGCGGCACGCGCGATACGCAGGGTTTACCCAGTCAGCCCACAGGAGGTTCAGCGCACGGCGCCTCATAAACCAGGGTAGGGGCGTTGTTTTACGCCCTTCAGAAAAGAGGGAGGGGGGAAGAAGACTGGGGACTCTGTACTTGGATTTGCCCTCCTGAGCCTGTGGAAACCTCAAGGAGACCTCCAGCCTCCCGAAGGCCTCTGGAGCCTCCAGAGACCTCCTGGGGGAATCGAGAAAGGGACGGAAGGGAGGAAGGGAGGTTAACCAGCCCCGATCTGATCCCTATCCCTGAGACCGACAGGCCCGAATGCGATGACAGTCGTAGGGATGCGCCCTCGAAACTCGGGGAATCCTTAAGATCGGCATCGAGATCGGGTGAGTGGGCAAATCCTTCGGGGCCGGCCAGGCTCCTGCCGCACTGCGCCCCCTCCCCCTGGGAGCTGGACAGGCAGCTCGTGACCTTCGTACTGCTCTCGCAGCCTGCGAAGCTGCTGCTCGCCGACGGACACGGGAAGGTGCCGGAGCCGGCGAAGCCGGGGCAGCACTGGTCGCCCGCGCACATGCTGCTCGAGCCGGGGCACTGCACGTGGGCCCCGACCGCGCAGGCGCTGCGCGCCCGGAGCCTCTGCTGCGCCAGGGAGCCCCTCAGGGAGCTGGGCAGGCAGTCCGCGACCTGGGCCAGGATACGCAGAAGGCATATATACACACCACCACCGTGCCAGGCCAGGGCCATCTTGGCCCTGGCATGGTGTGTACGCCATCCTGGCCGAGGCCAGGAGGGTCTACACACCATCCTGGCACCCAGGATGGCCCTGGCCTGGCACGGAGGTGGTGTATAGATGCCTTCGTCGGACAGGAAGCCACCGGCACCACCCTGCCTACGGCCCCACGGCGCTCGGCGTCTGCCAAGGAAGTGCGGCGAGGGCTTTTGCGCGGCATGCGCTGCGGCCCCCGAGGGGCCGCAGAGCGCAACACGGCGGGCCTAGTAGGTGGGGTGGCGTCGTGCCTTCTTCAGTCGGCGGCCTTCGTACTGTTCTCGCACCCCAAGTAGCCGCCGCTCGCCTTGGCCCCAGAGCCGTGTGCTGACAGACCGCGTGGTGACGTCGGTCCCCAGAGGCCTCACCGCGCGGTTTGGGACCCTGGAGACCCCAGTCGCTCGAGGCTTCCTCGGAGAACGGCTCGAGGCCCCGAACCGCAGGGGTGGCCCCACATCCCAGCCGACTCACCACGCGGCCGTGGTCACCACGCCGTTGAGGGGCCCCCGACTCGGGGAGGCGCAAGACTCGGGCTCGGGGGGCTCGGGTTGGCAAGACGGGGCAGCCAGGAAAACGACGAGACCCGATCCTGCTGACAGTGGGCGCGGGCCCCCGCTGCAGACACCCCGCGACACCCGGGCCGCCCAGGACTCCAGGACGGGCTCGCCGAGAGGACAGAAGAGAGAGCGCCGCCGGCAGACCCGAGAGAGCTCCCGGGAGCTCGAGCCCTGCGCTGCGCCTCCCCGACCGCTCGCCGACGGGCACGGGAAGGAGCCGCCGCCCGAGCCGGCGAAGCCAGGGCAGCACTGGTCGCCCGCGCACGTGCCGCTCGAGCCGGGGCACGGCACGCGGGCCCCTGGAGCGCAGGCGCCCGCCCGCGCGCCCGTGGCGCCGAGGGCGGCCAGGGCCAGGAGCAGGGCGGAGCGCGCCATCGAGCGGAGGCTGCGCGAGCGGCCCCCAGGGCTGCCAGGACTGGGAGGAGGGAAGCAGCTACGCAAAGGGGCCCGGGGACGCACAAACAAGTACAGTCAAAACGTGCATTCACGGGTGATAAGTACGCAAGACCCTTGGAGGCCGAAGTTGGGTTTTTTTAGGGCGGCGGGCGACCAGTGATAATGGCAAGGACGGGCCTCAGAGGCAAGGACACAAGGGTACCCTAGATGGAGGCGCGCGTCCTTGCTAGGCGCGTTGACTGTAGGCACAAGTCCCACGACTCCCCATGTTTTTCCCCACGTGTTTTGGGTCGTCGCCTTCCCCCCACCTCACATACCTTCCCAGACCGTCCCGAGTCGACGATTCCTTGTGTCTGTGCTTGTGCCCCTCCTGAACGCATGCATGAGCAGAAACTTTCGGAGCTCGGCGCGGGCCTCTTGGATCGGCGCTGGGCCCCCCGGCGGCGCCTCCGGCGCCGCCGGGGAGTGGGGGCCAGCACCAAGCCAAGAAGCATGCGCGGGCCTCCGGCAAGGTCATGTGTGTGCCTCTTGCGCGCGCTCCTCCAAGGACCCCTTCGCCTCCCTGCCACGTGGCCACAAATCCGGATCCTGAACGAAGCAGCAGCGGGCAGGACTGGACGTCGATCGTGGCGGCGTCGGCGCAGTCTGCGGGCCTGAGAGGTGCGAAGGCCTCCCAGGCGGCCCACAACGAGGCCCTCGGGAGGCAGGCCCGAGGCTCGAGGATCGGGGTTCGCTAGTGTGGCTGTCCCCTGGTAGCCTCTGGAGAACGCTGGAGCCTCGGGAGGCCAAAAAAGTCATCAGGGAACCCTCTGCGAAGGAATGGTGGAACACGCGAAGCTAAAATAATCCGGCGAATGCCCTCTTTCCCTTTCGGGGATGGCTCGTCAAGAGGGTCCCGCACAGGGCCAAGAGGGCCCCCAGAGGCTAAATGCCTGCGATGTTCCCCACATGTTGAAAGGATTTGGGCGTCACCGCCTTTGCGGGCTTGCGACCGCCCAAGATGGCCCAAGAGCCCGAGATCGCCCCAAGTCAGACCAAGAGGCTTCCAGGACCCCAGGACGGCCTCAAGACAGCCCAAGAGGACCCCGAGACGGCCCAAGAGGCCTCCCAAGAGGGCTCCAGAAGCTCCTAAGAGGGCCCCCAGAGGGGGAATCCGAACTGACGCATCGGACCCTCCCCCGAAAGATGGCGCCCGAGACCGCCAGCAGGCCCCCAAGAGGCCCCCAAGAGGCCCCCGGAGACGCAAAAGACCCCTCCTCCTCCTCCTCCTCCTCCTCCTCCTCCGCCTCCTCCGCCTCCTCCTCCTCCTCCTCGCTCGCCACGAGCGCACAAGCATACATCGCCTGTGATACGGTGCGGTCCGGCGGAGCGAGGCGAAGCGGTTCCCTTCGGCGGCCCGCCTGCGGGCCCACGCGGCGTGGAAGGCCGAGAGAAGATGGTGGGATGGACGATGACGGGGGATTCGATTCTTGTGGGACGCACAGAGACATACTAATACTATATGTCCTCCTTGGAGGCGCGCGTCCGACCCAAGCATATAGTATGCCCATCTTGTAGTATATCGTTTCCCGAGCGGTGTGGCCAGAAAGCGCACGCCGCGACGCATATACTATAAGATTTCTCGATGCGCGCGTCGCCCCTGGGGGACGACGCACATATTGTATAAGTATGTTGGGGTGATGCCGATCTTGGATTCTGGGATCGCCTGCGAAGCCAGCTCGAGCGAAGACAAGCTGGCTGCTTCCGATGCTTCAAAGGCCGCGCGGGTGCTAGCTTATCAAGTCGAGTCGAGTCGACTGGCTTTTCAAAGACCGATTTTCTGATTCGAGTCGCTAACTGTATCAACATATTCTGGCGGCTGATCCTTCGGTCAGGCTCCATGCGTTCCGTGCATCACTCGCTGACTGGGGAAGCATGCATAAAGTCTGCACTCAGGAATGCGAGTGGCAGCCCGAAGACGTTCGATGTGGTGCGAGGAGGCCACGTTTCAGTGATCCTGCTGGGGCACGTGTCAATACGAGTGAAATGCGCTCCCAGGGCCAGGCCAAAATGGGCGCGACAGATCCTGGGGCACGAAAGGTACAAGTGATCTGTGCCCCCACTGCTACGAAAGCCTCGGTCCGAGAGCCACAGAGGGCTCAACGATAGACACACCTCACACCCTTCCTGCCCCACACTGTGCTGGGACACGTCAAAATACGAGTGATCTGCGCTGTCAGGCTCCTGCGGCACGTGAAAAGTCTAGCGATGTGGGCCTCGAGGCTCCTGGGGAACGTCCACATACGATCGGCGGCGAGCGAGGGGGGGAACTGCGAAGGACAAGGCCTTCTCAGAAGGCCGCGAAACTTCTGAGAAGTCCTCGCGCCTTCTGAAAAGCTTGTTGCGTCGTCAGGGAAGGCTTAGAAAACCTCGCTGAAGGCCGGGGGACTTCCCAGCCTTATGAGAAGGCCTTCTCCTTCTCACTTCCCACCCCTCGCTCGCCGCCGAGACGAGTGAAGTGCCCTTCCATTTTAATGGGAATCTCCTTTCGGCAACACCCCTCGCGAACTTCGTGCATATTGGGGCGCTCCGCTGGCCCCCGAGACCGTTCCTTCGGGCCTCGACTTGTCACACCCCTCGTGCACGTCGTGCCCCACGTACCCAAAAAGGTCCTTAGCTTATGTTGCCCCCATCGTACTTCAAGGCCACATCACAAAAAGAATTTCGGGCACCCACAAAAGTATCGAAACAGTGTTTGCCCGCCACGTTAGCGAAGTGTCGAACGAGTATCGCCTCCCAGGGCCCCACACGTGAAAACCCGCCAGTTTCGGTACATTCTCGGTGCTCGAAACCCTTTCTGGTGATCAAGGCTGAAGTAAGTTGGAACATCATAACCTGAGCTGACCTCCAAGACCGCCTAATCGCCTAATCCCCCCCGGGGCGCAAAGGCGCCCCCGGGGAACGTTGCAATGATTGGGATTGGCCCTGGCCGACGCAGTATCCCTAACACCCACTGATTCCAGAATCTGCGTGCAAGCTTCCCCCTGGGGGTCCGCCGTTCACCACTGCTGGCCTCCTTGCTTCAGAGTATCCTCATCGGCGCCCCTCCTCCCGACAGCTCCCTTGGGCACCGTTTCTGGACTGGCTGGTGGAGGTACGCGAAGCCTCAAGAATCTCACGCACATTAAAGAGAAGAAATAGCGGCATGTAAACATAAACTTTCGGAGGTCCGCGCGGATTCCTTGAATCGCCTCTGGACCCCCTCGAGCGCGCCAGGGAGGCTCAGCGCAGATCCAAAAAATCCGCGTAGACCTCCAAAAGTTTCTGTTCATGCCGCTTCTCTTCTTCGAGTTCAGCGACACGGACACCAATCAGGCTTCCACGCTGGTGCACTGGGCGCAAACGCATGACATCAAGAAGCTGCCCAGGACCCAGATCCCAGGCGTCAAATGTTCGTCGTAATCAACGTCGAAACCCACAGGTCCCGACCCGTCCCCCTGAACCGGCTTTTCGCCCTGAGTCGTTTCTTGATGGCCCCGAGGCCCCCGCAAGGGCCCCCAGAGGCCGAAAATAGCGAGAAGCCTTCTGCCGTGGCTTCGCCACGGCGCGAGAGGTTTTTTTTTTGGGGGTGGTGCCCCCAGTTCCTCAGGTTTGCTCAAGTTCCTCAGGTTTGCTCAAATGCCGGCGTGCCGAATGCATGCTGCCAGTTCCTCAGGTTTGCTCAAATGCGTACCGAATACATGCTGTCGTGTCCAAGCCTGCCGTCGTAACCAAGAATATCCGCACTGCATGACAATGATGGCCGGTGGTTCCTGTACTCTATGTAATTCCGTTTGGCTTAAATCCCCTGGGGAGCCATCCCCCAAATCCCACGCTGCCGCAGCAGCGCGCGGCGAGGGAGCCGCCCGCGGACCCCCCCCCCGAGGCTCCGAGGAGGGGGCTGACGTGCCGGCACGCCCCAGCCGTCGTGGCGACGTTGTCCCCGTACGTCGGGTACGCCTGCTGGGCGCCGGGGCTCCGCGGCAGGCCACGGGGGCGAACGAACGGCCACGTCTGCCGTCGCCAGAAGCCACGAGGGGGAGGAGGAGGAGACGGAGGACGAGGGGGAGGAGGAGGGGGGGAGGAGTAGGAGGAGGAGGAGGAGGAGGAGGAGGAGGAGGAGGAGGAGGAGGAGGAGGCGGAGGGAGGAGGAGGGGAGGAGGAGAGGAGGAAGGGGTAGGATGAGGAGGAGAGGAGGAGGAGGAGGAGGAGGAGGAGGAGGAGGAGGAGTGGGGAGGGGAGGAGGGGGAGAGCGAGGGGGAGGAGGAGGAGGAGGAGGAGGAGGAGGAGGAGGGAGGAGGAGGAGGAGGAGGAGGAGGGAGGAGGAGGAGGAGGAGGAGGAGGAGGGGTGCCCATCAGACGCTGTGTGCATGTAGGTGCATCGCGCTCTGGCTCTGGAGGGGCAGCGGGGGTGACGAGCACGGAGTGGCCAGCGCCAGCGGGCACGGGCGAGCTGTGGGGATGAGCCGCGCTGGTTTTGAGTAAGTACGAGAGGGTATTGGATGTTGGAAGCCACGGGGACGAACGAGCGGCCACGTCTGCCGTCGCCGAGAGCCACGAGCGGCGGACGTGCCCATATCCACGCCCTCACGGTCCGAGTTCGGGGGCGCGGTCCCCTGCATCGGTGGCGGGCCAGGGGGGGGAGTGCGAAGGAAAGCGCCCGCTCAGAAAGCGGCGGGGCTTCTCGGAAGCCCTCGCGCCTTCCGAGAAGCTTTTTGTCACGTCTTCGGGGAAGGCTCACCCCTCAGGATGCACTGTAACTCCGTCCGTCCTCCTACTATTTGGCGGCGAGCGCGGGGGGGGAGTGAGAAGGGGCGGGACTTCTCAGAAGGCTCGAAGTCCCCTAGCTTCCTGAGAGGTTTTCTGAGCCTTCCCCGAAGACGCGACAAAAAGCTTCTCGGAAGGCGCGAGGGCTTCCGAGAAGCCCCGCCGCCTTCTGAGACGGCGCTCTCCTTCGCACTTGCCCCCCCCTGGCCCGCCACCGGTGCAGGGGACCGCGCCCCCGAACTCGGACCGTGAGGGCGTGGATATGGGCACGTCCGCCGCTCGTGGCTCTCGGCGACGGCAGACGTGGCCGCTCGTGCGTCCCCGTGGCTTCCAACATCCAATACCCTCTCGTACTTACTCAAAACCACGGCTCATCCCCACAGCTCGCCCGTGCCCGCTGGCGCTGGCCACTCCGTTGCTCGTCACCCCCGCTGCCCCTCCAGAGCCAGAGCGCGATGCACCTACATGCACACACCGTCTGATGAGCACCCCTCCTCCTCCTCCTCCTCCTCCTCCTCCTCCTCCTCCTCCTCCTCTCCTCCTCCTCCCTCCCCTCCTCCTCCCTCCTCCTCCTCCTCCTCCTCCTCCTCCTCCTCCCTCCTCCTCCTCCTCCTCCTCCTCTCCTCCTCCTCCTCCTCCCCCCTCCCCCCTCCTCCCCCTCATCCCCCTCCTCCTCCTCCTCCTCCTCCTCCTCCGCCGCCGCCGCCGCCGCCGCCCCGCCTCCTCCTCCTCCGCCTCCTCCTCCTCCTCCTCCTCCTCCTCCTCCTCCTCCTCCTCCTCCTCCTCTCCTCCCCCTCCTCCTCCTCCTCCTCCTCCTCCTCCTCCTCCTCCTCCTCCTCCTCCTCCTCCTCCTCCTCCTCCTTCCTCCCTCCTCCTCCTCCTCCTCCTCCTCCTCCTCCCTCCTCTCCTCCTCCTCCTCTCCTCCTCCTCCTCCTCCCTCCTCCTCCTCTCCTCCTCCTCCTCCTCCTCCTCCTCCTCTCCTCCTCCTCCTCCTCCTCCTCCTCCTCCTCCTCCTCCTCTCCTCCTCCTCCTCCTCCTCCGCCTCCTCCTCCTCCTCCTCCTCCTCCTCTCCTCCTCCTCCTCCTCCCCCTCCCCCTCCTCCTCCTCATCCCCCTCCTCCTCCTCCTCCTCCTCCTCCTCCTCCTCCTCCGCCGCCGCCGCGCGCCGCCGCCCGCCGCCGCCGCCGTCCTCCTCCTCCCTCCCTCCTCCTCCTCCTCCTCCTCCTCCTCCTCCTCCTCTCCTCTCCTCCTCCTCCTCCTCCTCCTCCTCCTCCGCCTCCTCCTCCTCCTCCTCCTCCTCCTCCTCCTCCTCCTCCTCCTCCTCCGCCTCCTCCTCCTCCTCCTCCTCTCCTCCTCCTCCTCCTCCTCCTCCCTCCTCCTCCTCCTCCTCCTCCTCCTCCTCCTCCTCCTCCCCCCTCCTCCTCCCCCCCCCCTCCTCCCCCTCCTCCTCCTCTTCTGCTGTCCCTTTCCCGCACTCTCCGGAGCGGAGGGGAGCGCGCCGCGTCCGCGGGCTGGCCGGCCAGCGGGCCCCTTCGGGGGCGGCGCGGATGGGCCAGGGTCCACTCGCGGCACGCGCCTGAGGAGAGGCGTGCTCCCGACTGTCCCATAGCGAACGTTTCTTAACTCGGCGCGTCGGCGTGGGGCGGGGAAGGGGCGGGGGAGGAGGGGGGGGGGTCTGGCTCTGGACCTCTGCTTCGTGCGGCTGTTGGCAACGGTGCGTCCTGTGGGGGAGGCTCCGCCTGCTCGAAACAGGCGCGCGAAACAGCCAAGATCCACTCCATGGGGGGGAAAAGGGGGTGCGAGGGCCCGCGCCGATCGGCAAAACAATGAATAAGGAAACGACGACCTGGAGAGGAAGGCGTGCTCCCAACTGTCCCAGGATATCTGGTCGCCAGCATAATTCAACCAATGTTTGGTGTCAAGCCCAGTTCGGCGGCTCCGACGGGTGTGGTTTGCGCAAGGTGTGGTGTGCAGCGCGCGCCCCGGAGGGGGCGGGCGGTGACCTCGATGGAGCTCTCCGCCCTGCCTCGAAAAGGCCGGACGCGGGCAACTCCCCGGACCTCTCCTGGACCTCTCCCGGGGTGCGCTCTGGCCAGGACTTCGAGGCGGATCCAGCGGTGGCGACGAGGGCCTCCCAGGAGGCCCAAAAGGGGGAAAACGAAGCAAAGGCGGGGGTTCTGGGTATTTTTTCCTCCGCTGACTGTAGTCGCCAACCAGCGGCATTGTGCACGAGCTGCGAAACATCGTCCGTTGGTCGGGCCCCAACCAGTGACCATGGCGTGCGTGTTTTTAACTTCGGGCGTGTTTTATGTTTCCCAAATGATCAAATCTGCTCCTCGATGGTCCTCGCCGAAAGACAAGACTGCACACGTCCGAGCGATGCCGCAGTGCCAAGACCAAGCCCCGCCAGGGACGCGGGCGACGGGAGCGCAGGGCCGCGGAAGCGCGAACGACGGCCGCGGGGGCCGCGGGCCGCGCGGCCGCGAGGCCCCCAGGCGCGAGGTCGGCCCCAGACCTCCTCGCGGCGAAGAGATCGGCTGCACGTAAGGTTAACCGACTCTAAGTGAAATATGAATCGAGGGGTGGGCGACTAACCTGCCGACGGAGCTTGCCCATCCCCCCGCCCACCTCCTCCTCCTCCTCCTCCTCGTCCTCCTCCTCGTCCTCCTCTTCCTCCTCCTCCTCCTCCTCCTCCTCCTCCTCCTCCTCCTCCAACCCCCTCCCTCCACCCGTCCCGACAGCACGTGCCCAATCCCCCCAGCGGATCCAGGAGCGGGGGGGGGGGGGGGCGATTATTACCACATTCAGAGTGCCAGCGGCGAGCGAAGGGGGCCCCGAAACACGACTGAGGATGGAAAGCCAGCCCCAGGGGTGGTCCCGACCTCTGGGGGCCCAAGCTCTGAACGTTGTGGAGGCAACGCTCCCTGGCTTCGCCCTACGGCTCGTCGTGGATGACAGCGCGGTGCTCACCAGGTCGCTCTAGCCAACGCCTGGGCTGAACAGCAGGCTCGGGCATGCCGCCAGCCTTACAGGAAGCGCAGGGAAATGCTGGACGCGTGCGTCGCCCTGCTAAGCAGGAACCGCAGGTGCGGTTCGGCTCCAAGTCGCTGGCTCTTGTTCTAGAGCCGCGCGGGGTGGCGTTTTCCCGTCGTGGCACTGGGGATCGACCATCACAGTGGTCGCGCTGACCAAGACATGGAAGTGCACAACCTGAACGCTGGTAGATTCCAGAACTTCTGCCCGCAAGGCAACTCCCATTTCATGGACAACGCCTTCGCTATCGACGCCAAGTGACAGTGGAAGTTCCGGCATAGGCGGACGTCGACGATTCACCTACACCAATCCTGGCCAGGCCCATCCTAGGCCCACCATCGGCATAGACGCGATCCTGGCTTGGCCAGGACGGCATACACACCGATCGTGGGCCTAAGATTGGCTGGGTTAGGATCGGTGTCTGTGTACAGCTGGCACCCCCCCCGACGGCACCAGAACATGATTGCCTGCCACCGCAAGCTCCCGCTCCAGCGCTACCTCCTCCTGTTGTTCCTCATCATTTCCCTCCTCCTCCTCCTCCTCCTCCTCCTCCTCCTCCTCCTCCTCCTCCGCCTCCTCCTCATCATCATCATCATCAGCAGCAGCAGCAGCAGTAGCATCATCAGCAACAGCAGCAGCATCATCATCAGCAGCAGCATCATCATCAGCATCATCAGAATCAGCATGATCATCATCATCATGTTCTTCTTCATTCATTATCAGCATCAGCATCATCATTATCATCATCATCATCAGCAGCAGCATCATCATCATCTTCATCAGCAGCATCATCATCAGTATCATCATCATAATCAGCATCAACATCAGCATCAGCATCTACATCATCAGTATCATCATCAGCATCAGCATCAGTATCAGCATCAGCATCATCATCAGCAGCAGCATCATCAGGTCATCATCAGCATCATCCTCATCATCATCATCATCATCAGCAGCAGCAGCAGCAGCATCGTCATCATCATTAGCGGCAGCAGCAGCATCATCAGGTCATCAGCATCATCAGCAGCAGCAGCATCATCAGGTTATGTAATTACATTGGCAATATGGTCTGAAAGTTATTGGATCACGCGTTCATCTCCATTACGCTCGGATCCAACAATGACGTCATGCTGGACCTGGCCGACTTCTTGAGAATCTTGGAACCCGAGGAAGGCACTTCTGAAAACGAGTGCCAAATGAGAACCATCACGGACAAGGAGTCCCTCTGTGTCTGCAGCAGATGCGCATATCGACATGTGCATTAGCGCTCAGGAGCTCACCTTTGGACGCCCGAAATGGGTACGGAAAGAATGGGTACTATGCCCAACAACAAATGTTGTCCCGAACCAACAGCGGCCGCTGTTGGGCAGGCGGCCTTCTGTCTCGAATGGACACAGGCCGCGGCGGCGTGGACAGCGAGTCCTGTGCAAAATGAACAGGAACTGCTGTTGGGCATGGTACCCATTCTTTCCGTACCCATTTCGGGCGTCCAGATCACCATCACCATCGCCACAGGCGTCGTGGCAACACGGCAACACACCCGGGGGGGGGGAATCCGGCCGCGGCGACGAGAAGCCCCCGGGAGGCCCGAGACAAAAAAAGAGAATCTTCCCCTGCAGACCGACAGCGACAACACCATCTTCAGAGGGGCCCCAGGACACACAAATAAATACACACAAATAAAAAGAATCCCCATGTTTCCCCATATTTTCTGGGTTCTTGTCTTCCCCACCAATTCCCATATTTTCCTATATTTTGTGGGGAATCGACGATTAATTGTGTCTGTGTTTGTTTTCCCTCCTGAATCTTTCCAGGGCGGCGGCACAGCCGTGGACACGAGGACGCCCCGGCCCGAGGAGGGCAAACCACAAAGCCAGGAGCACGGGCTCGACGGCGGCGGCGCCTGGAAGTCCCTGTAGAACTCGTCGAACCCCTCCCTGAGGGCGCCCGCCAGGCCGGTCGCCGCGGAGCCGCCCGCGGCCGCGGCGCCGCCGCCCTGGCTGTAGCAGGCCTCGCCGCGCGCGCGCAGGAGGCCGTCGTCGGGGAGGCGACAGGCGAGGGTCGCGGCCTCTGGGTGCCTTTGACGTTGTTGGCCCTCCAGCGGCCTCCATAGAAGAAGACAAAGCGGCATCAACAGAAACTGTTGGCGCTCCGCGCGGAGCGCAAAAGATGTATGCTCATGCAGTTTTTTCCGAACCATCCGGTGGTAGTGGGTCCTCGTTTTGAGCGTCCGCCTCCTCTGATCTCTCCTCCTCCTCCTGCTGCTCCTGCTCCTCCTGCTCCTGCTCCTGCTCCTGCTCCTGCTCCTCCTCCTCCTCCTCCTCCTCCTCCTCCTCCTCCCTCCTCCTCTCCTCCTCCTCCTCCTCCTCCTCCTCCTCTCCTCCTCCTCCTCCCCCTCTTCCTGCTCCCGTCACCCCACCGCTATGGCCCACCCGTGGCACACTGCGTGGTCCCATAGGGAGCTCCACCCAAGGCCCCAGTGGCTGCGTTCACATGCCGCCCCCCCTCCACGTCTGGCACACCCCGCACACGCTTCGTGGCCCCATAGGGAGCTCCACCCAAGGCACCAGTGGCTGCGTTCACATGCCGCCCCCCCTCCACGTCTGGCACACCCCGCACACGCTTCGTGGCCCCATAGGGAGCTCCACCCAAGGCACCAGTGGCTGCGTTCACATGCCGCCCCCCCTCCACGTCTGGCACACCCCGCACACGCTTCGTGGCCCCATAGGGAGCTCCACCCAAGGCACCAGTGGCTGCGTTCACATGCCGCCCCCCCTCCACGTCTGGCACACCCCGCACACGCTTCGTGGCCCCATAGGGAGCTCCACCCAAGGCACCAGTGGCTGCGTTCACATGCCGCCCCCCCTCCACGTCTGGCACACCCCGCACACGCTTCGTGGCCCCATAGGGAGCTCCACCCAAGGCACCAGTGGCCGCGTTCACATGCCGCCCCCCCTCCACGTCTGGCACACCCGTCGCACGCTTCGTGGCCCCATAGGGAGCCCCACCCAAGGACCCAATGGCTGCGTTCACATGCCGCCCCCCTCCACTTCTGGCACACCCCTCACACGCTTCATGGCCGCATGCAAGAAGCTTTGCAGCGCTGGCGTCTACCCCGCTGCCGTATTTGGCCATCAGGTCATGGGTACTCGACGTGCTGACCATGAGGCGCGACGCTGCAGCGGCGGTGGCAAGCTCTAAGAGAGGCAAATGTTTGACTGCGGTGCTGCAGGCGGTGCACGGCATGACGGAGACAGGGGCGGACTTGAGACGGCAGCTGCTGAAAGAGAGGATCTCGCTCTGGCTGTCTCAGCCCGCTCCCCACCCTCCTTGCCATCGCTCGGACGTCCATTTCCTGAGCATTTTTCGGTTTCGTGCGTGTTTTTTTCGCTCGATGGTCCAGGATGGTCCTCGATGGTTCTCGCCGTGAAATAATGCACACGTCCGAGCGATGCCAAGCCTCGGATCAAGAAGGCCTGGCCCGTTCTGCTGCGCCGGGTCAAGAACGACACGGCGGTGAAGCGGAGCGACATCAGAGGGCCGATCGCGGCCGTGCAAGCCACCGTGAAACAGGCGGGGGTGGTCGCCCGAGTCTCCGCTTGTCTGGTCTGGAGAGATTTCGGATGGCACTGTTGATGACTGGCTTTTTTTTTCCGCATTTGGGTGATGAGCAGTTTGGCGCGGCCGTGCCGGCACAAATTGAGGGTATATGCTTGGCGCGTTCACGGACGACCGTGTTGCTCTCCAATGGCGTCAGGCTGCTGGTCATGAGGCTGGAGAGGATCTCGCGGATGGCGCCGACATGACCACCATCAACATCGAGCTGAGCAGGTTCGCGAAGCAGGCTGCCTTAGAGGAGTGGTCCTCGAGCCTGGCCGCCATCGCGGGTGGGCAATGGACTCGTGAGCGGCTAATCGCCGCAAGCTACGCCTGCCCTTATTTCTGCCCCAGATGTCGTAGGTGTCCCGAAACCCTCGCCCGTAGGATTTGGAGGTGCCCTGCCAACTCTGGGCACGAGAATTTCGTGACGACTGATTGCTTGGTCCCCGGAGCCCTCGCGAGCCTGGAGGCCCAACCTGACCGTTGGTTTCGAGGTGTGCCCCTTAGGGACCTCACTGTGCCCAAGTTTGTGGAGACCCCTGAGACTTTCAGGCAGGTCCCTCTTGGGTCTGGCAGGGTGTCCGATTTCTGTTCCGCTCCTGGAGGCCGCCCGATGTTCGCCTTTGGAGACGGCTCTGGAGGCGAACATTCTGCGGACCCTCGGAGAAGGAGATGCGGCTCGACGATCGTGGCGTTGTGTCAGGATCCCTCGTCGCCTGGCTTCTGGATCCCGCAGTGTGGGGTCGCGCAGATCCGTTCAGGGCGTAGGCAGACGGTTCCCCGCGCTGAAATTCAGGCCTTACGTCTCGCTCTTGAGAATTCGACAGGACCGTGTTATGTGACCGACTGCAAGAGCCTCATCAGTGATTGGCATTCTGGCCGCGCCAATCTCCCTCGGGGCCCCAACGAAGACCTTTGGGTTCGCGCCTCTAGGGCGCTGGGAGCCCGGGGCCCTGGGGATGGTTTTCTGCTTTGGACGGCCTCGCAGAGAGAGGACGATGTGCAGCCGCCAACCACGACTTCTAATGCGCTGCTCCGCCAGGGCAACGCCAGTGCCGTCGTCTGGGCGGGTGTCGCGGCCCAGTGGGCCTGGGATTGGTGCGTGTCGTCCACCCCCCCCTCGACGGACCTGTGGGGCACGACGGCGGCACTGGCGAGATGCAGAGCTCGGCGTGCGTTGCTGCTGGCGCTCGAGGTTGAGCCGTGGGTCGGAGTGGGAGATCCAACTGCCAAGCAGCCCTGCAAAAGCAAGTTTCAATCGGCCCTGGAGTCCAGCCCAGCCAGCATAAGGTTCTTCCTTTCGCTGGACGTTGGAGGTGCGGGCATGGCCGTGTGATTCTCCCTCGCTGCAGAGTTCTGAAATCCACCTCGACCCAGTGTCTCGTCCCGAGCTCGATCGTCCGCGTGCTGGACTCGGTTGAAGTTCGGGGCTTGCCCCCCTGAGTACGATGAGGGCTTCGAGGCGGTCGAGGGTGAAGCTTGGGTGGGAGGCGTGAGGCTTCACCCGCCCAACTCGCCCGCTGGAATGAAGTCGTTCGGTCTCGTTTTTTGTACGAGGTGCTGCTTCACTGCCGCGGCCGACGGCAGGAGGCTCACCAGTCACTGCGCCCCACCCCCACTAAGAAAGGGGGGGGGAACTCAGAGCGAATGATGCGGCGTGGCTCGCCCCCCTCACATCGAGGGCCACCGAGGGCGATCCTGGCCGCCCAGGCGCGTGATGCCGTCAAGGGTGCGGTCCTGGCGCCCCCCGAGGTGGAGTCTCGGTGCAGCGGAGAGGCCCCGACCCCGGCCGACCGCCACCCGAGCGCCACGCCCGAGCCCACGTCCATCGGCGAGGACCCACCGCCGATGCCTGCCGCCACCGCTGCCGCCACCACTGCCCTGCCCTCGTGTGCGGGCCGGGCGGCCAGGGTTGGGTCGGACGTGTGCAGCAGAGGGGGGCAGCAGCAGCAGCAGCAGCAGCAGCAGGACGTGCGCATCCAGTTTGACAGCGGGGGCAGTGACTGATCGTTGTGGGCCACGGGAGTGGCAAGGCGACAGAATCCTCCTCCTCCTCCTCTTCCTCCTCCTCCTCCTCCTCCTCCTCCTCCTCCGCCTCCTCCTCCTCCTCCTCCTCCTCCTCCTCCTCCTCTCCTCCTCCGCCGCCGCCGCCGCCGCCGCGCCGCCGCCGCCGCCGCCCCGCCCTCCTCCTCTCCTCCTCCTCCTCCTCCTCCTCCTCCTCTCCTCCTCCTCCTCCTCCTCCTTCCTCCTCCTCCTCCTCCTCCTCCTCCTCCTCCCTCCTCCTCCTCCTCCTCCTCCTCCTCCTCCTCCTCCTCCTCCTCTCTCCTCCTCCTCCTCGAGGCCGGGGGATTGTGGAGCCCCTGTGGGTTTCAGACGATTGTTTACGATCTTTCACGTTGCTCCTCATCATTATTCTGATATTTCCTCTCTCTCGCTTTCTCTCTCTCTCTCTCTCTCTCAATCTCTCCCACTCCCATTCCCATTCCCATTCCCAATGACATTACCATTACCATTCCCATCCCCATCCCCATACCTCTACCTTTATCTTTACCTTTACCTTTACCATTGCCATTACCATGGCCATTACAATTGCCATTGTCATTGCCGTTGCCATTCCCATTGCCATTGCCATTACCAGTGCCGTTGCCATTGCCATTGTATTGCCATTGCCAGTCGCCGCCCCGTTACCATTACCGTTACCATTCCCATTACCATCCCCATTACCACTAGACACTACCATTACCATTGCCATTACCATTAGCATTACCAACACCATTGCCATTACCATTACCATTACCGCTGCCATCACCATTACAATCCCCATTCCCATCACCATTGCCATTACCGTTGCCGTGACCAGTACCATTTCCATTACCATTACCATTACCATTGCCATTATCATTACCACTACCACTACCATTTCCATTCCCGTTCCCGTTCCAATTACCAGCACGATTCCCATTCCCATTCCCATTCCCATCCCCATCCCCATCCCCATTACCATTACCATGGCCATTACCATGACCATGACCATGACCATGGCCATGGCCATTGCCATTGCCATTGCTATTGCCATTGCCGTTCCCGTTCCCATTCCAATTCCCATTGCCATTACCATTACCATTGCCATCGCCGTTGCCATTGCCAGTCGCTACCCCGTTACTATTGCCATAACCATTACCATTACCGTTACCGTCACCATTACCATTCCCAGTACCATTACCTCTGACATTGCCATTACCATTACCATTACACTTGCCATTGCCAATCGCAACTACCATTACCATTGCCATTCGCCACTACCAGCCACTACCATTACCATTGCCATTGCCATTGCCATTCGCCACTACCATTACCACTGCCAGTACCATTACCATTCCGATTCACATTCCCATCCCCAACAACATTACACTTACCATTACCATTACAATTGCCATTGCCATTACCATTGCCTCTACCTTTACCTGTACCCTTACCCTTCATGCCCATCCCCGTTCCCATTCCCATTCACAGTACCATTACCATTACCATTACCGTTGTCATTACCATTGCCATTGCCATTGCCATGGCCATTACCATTACCGTTGCCCGCTACCACTATCATTACCGTTACCATTACCAGTACCACTACCATTACTTCTTTCATTACCATTACCATTCGCATTGCCATTGCCATTGCCATTGCCATTCGCCACTACCATTACCATTGCCAGTACCATGTCCAAAGCCATTGCCATTCCCATGACCATTGACATTACCATTCTCATTTCCATTACCATTACCATTACCTTTACCTTTACCCTTACCCTTATCATTCCCATTTCCGTTACCACTACCACTACCATTTCCATTCCCGTTCCCGTTCCCATTCCCATTCCCATTCACATTCCCATTCCCTTCCCATTCCCACTACCATTGCCATTACCATTACACTTACCATTGCCGTTGCCATTGCCAGGGCCATTATCATTGTCATTGCCATTGCCAATCCCATTGTCATTGTCATTACCATTAGTGTTGCCATTGTCATTGTCATTGCCATTGCCAATCGCTGCCCCGTTACCATTACCATTACCGTCACCATTACCATTACCAGTACCATTACTATTACCCATGGCATTACCATTACCATTACCATTACCATTACCATTACCATTGCCATTGCCATTGCCATTGCCATTCGCCACTACCACTACCATTGCCAATACCATTTCCATTCCCATTCCCACTCCCATTCCCATTACCATTACCGCTGCCATTACCATTAGAATGCCCGCTCTCATCCCCATTCCCATTCCCAATACCATTACCATTGCCATTCCCATTACCATTACCAGTGCCATTACCATTACCACTACCACTACAATTTCCATTCCCGTTCCCGTTCCCATTCCCACTCCCATTCCCATTACCATTACCATTGCCATTACCATTACCACTGTCATTGCCATTGCCATTACCATTACCATTACCTTTACCTCTACCTTTACCCTTACCATTACCATTGCCATGTCCATTACCATTGCCATTGCCATTGTCATTGCCATTCCCATTGCCATTGCCATTACGGTTGCCATTGCCATTGTCTTTGCCTCGCTACCCCGTTACGGCAGCCTCAAGACGACGCAGGGAACGGGCGGGCACTACGGATGCGCTTAGCTATGAATGCCATAGACTCAGGTAGGACATATGAGTTAATGTTTGCAGCCATGGCGTAGGACATGGTGCATTAGATGTGCCAACAGGGCGCTTTGATAGTGCCTGATGCGCTATTTAAGGATGATCATTGCGATGGTGCAGTAGATGTGCCAACGGGGCGCTTTGATAGGTGTGTTGTAATTAGTTGCAGCTGTGGTTTCATGGTGGGCGCCATGAATTGTTCGGGTGTTTAGCTCTGGCGCGGGCTTAGGGCTGACTAACGCGCAGGTGCAGCATATGTGCCAACGCGACTCTAGCTTTACGTACTTTACTGCAACGTGGAGTATAATACTCCATAGATGGTGCATTAGATGTGCCAGCGGGGCGCTTTGATAGTGCGTGGTGCGCTATTTGGGGATGGTCTTTGCGATGATACACTAGATGTGCCACTGGGGCGCTTTTCGCGTTATTTACATTATTTCAGCGTGGCTTTAGACTTATGTACTTTCCTTCAGCGCGGTGTATTGTACTCCAACACTTATGCGAGATCTGATTGTTCATGCGTCGTTTAAAAAGTCTTTTCGTTCCCTCCACTTCCTCCTTACCTCTCCCCCTCCCTCCCCCCTCATGTTCCGCGCTGCCCCCCTGGCCGTCGGTTCCTCGCGGCCCGATGGGCCCCGTGCCACTCGGGCTCCGACGGTGGAGGAGGGGGAGAGGTAGGAGAAGGAGGAGGAGGAGGAAGAGGAGGAGGAGGAGGAGGAGGAGGAGGAGGAGGACGAGGAGAAGGATGAGGAGGAGGAGGAGGAGGGAGGAGAGGATTTTCATCCCCCCCCCCCCGAAAAAAAAAAAATAAAAAAAAAAAACGAAAAAAAGGCGGATCCGCCCAGATTTTTTTTTTTTTTTTTTTTTTTCCTGGGGGGGGGGGGGAGGGGGCCAAACAACGAAAATGGTATTGTTCCTTTTGGAGGAGGAGGAGGAGGAGGAGGAGGAGGAGGAGGAGGAGGAGAGAGGAGGCCGCCACAGAGCACGCATATCTCATTGAAATAGACGCGCGAACTCAGTGTGAAAGCCTCGCTTTGGCGCCTTCGACCCCGAGGGGCTCCACAATCCCCCGTTCGTCCTCTCTCCTCCTCCTCCTCCTCCTCCTCCTCCTCCTCCTCCTCCTCCTCCTCCTCCTCCTCCTCCTCCTCCTCCTCCTCCTCCTCCTCCTCACCTCCTCCTCCTCTCCTCCTCCTCCTCCTCCTCCCTCCTCCTCCTCCTCCTCTCCTCCTCCTCGCTCCTCCTCCTCCTCCTCCTCCTCCTCCTCCTCCTCCTCCTCCTCCTCCTCCTCCTCCTCCCTCCTCCCTCCTCCCTCCTCCTCCCCCTCCTCCCTCCTCCCTCCTCCCCATCCTCCCTCCTCCCTCCTCCTCCTCCTCCCCCCTCCCTCCTCCTCCCTCCTCCCTCCTCCCTCCCCTCCTCCCTCCTCCCCTCCTCCCTCCTCCCTCCTCTCCCTCCTCCTCCTCCTCCCTCCTCCCTCCTCCCTCCTCCCTCCATCCCTCCTCCCTCCCTCTCCTCCTCCCTCCTCCCTCCTCCTCCTCCTCCTCCTCCTCCTCCCTCCTCCTCCTCCTCCTCCTCCTCCTCCTCCTCCTCCTCCTCCTCCTCCTCCTCATCCTCCTCTTCCGCCTCCGATCGTGTTTCGACGTGTTGCTGCCATTTCGCATGCAAGTTCTGATGGCAGGCTGGGCCTGCACCCTGCCTGAACAGCCCATCACGTGCGGGAGTGGTGCGCGCCATCGACGGGTGAATTTTTCTGATGCGAATGAAACAGCACTTGTATGCGTGTACATTAAGGTGCGCAATTGCGCACACATGCGTTGTGCAAAACAGCCTCTGTACATTGACACGGTTTCGGGCCACGCACTGGAACTCGCACAAGAAAGCGGATCCTGGTGAATACGGGATCCTGGTGTCTACGCGTTCCATGGACTCCCGGGAAACATGGGGAAACAAGTATACACCACACCACCCCGACGTCGTCCCCGACCGCCTCAAAAAGTCCTGGGATTGAAAAACAACCCGCCCCTGGCAATGTATCTGCTCCAGTTCTGAATCTGCCAGCAGGAGCTGACATTGCCCCGACGTCGAATGATTGTTGCTCATCCTCCTCCACCTCCTCCCCTCCCCTTGGTGGAGGGCATGCCAACACAACTCGGCTCGCGAGGCTGATAATCACAGATAGGGTTCCGTGTGGCAGCCGAAGGTGGCTCAACGTCAGGAAGAAAGGCATGCCCATTTTCTTCTGGGAGAACCCAGCATCACCAACATGTGGCAATAACGTGCCCGCAATAACACTAATGAGACGGGGCGCTGTCGTGACAATGACAGTCTTGTCATCCGCCATATATATAGACATACATATATCACCGTTCGATTCAAATCCGTCTGCTTGCATGGAAGAGGGATGGGGCAGAAGAACCTGGAACCAACACACAATGAAAGCGAAAGGCCTGCTGCATCCGTTCAGCAAATCTGAATGAGCCGGCATGCGTTTGTTTTAACGTCCCGTCGCAAAGGCAAAGCGAAGTACAGCAGCAGTAGTCTGGCTGATGGGGCCGCATCGGCGCCACACAGCATCTGGGGCAAGGAGAACACGCAACCCATGGTCATCACGGCCCTGCGGCTGGCCGACTAAGACGGCCGCCGGCGCGAGCCACCAGGGCAGCCGCGCGTGCCAGGAGATAAAGCAAAAGCGTACCACAGCGGCCAGGTCGCAAGCGGCACTCCGCCGCGTGCATTAGACGGGGGTCCGGAGACTGCTGGAAACAACGCCGCACCAAAAAAGCTGGCTCTGAACCAGAACCACGCGGTTCTGCAAGCAGGTCGCGAGCAGACAGACTCATCGGCTTTGCTATGCTAGCACGAGGCTTGAGGTAAGAACCCCCGAGACCCTCGCCAACAGCACCCTACAAGGCCGCCACGGCTCTGGTCACTGCGTCGGGGCCCAGTGGGACTGGGCCAAAAAACGGGCACAGGTAGCCTCTTCTTTGGGAGCTTGCCCGTGTCCAAATAGTCCCACGCCTTCTGCATGCACATGAATTCGCTTCCCTCCTCCGCGAACTGGACCTCCCCGCCGCGCCGCGACTTCTTCTCGACGTTCTCTGCGACCTGCGCGGCATTTGCCGGCGCCTGCACGCAGCGGCCGTAGCCCTGCCACGTCATGATGGCGCCGCGAGGAAAATTCTGCCCCATGTCCTGCGCGTTGGCGCATGCAGTGTTGGAATCCCAGAGATCCCCCACTATGAGCGGCCTGATGATCGCGTCTTGCATCGGCGGCGCGGGGCGGGGGGATTGCCGGCCAGGTGCCGGTATTCATGGCGTAGAAGGGGCCGCACATGAGGCCGATAGAGCAGATGCTGATTGATCACCTCCACCAGTCAATCAAATCCTCCTCGCTGACGCGCCCAGCGGCGTCGAGCCTGCGCACGGCGGCATGCCGACTGTCGGACATCACGTCAGACAAGATGTCGACCGCGGCCGCGGATGCCTGCGCGAGCTCGGGAGAACCGGAGTATTCGAGGAGACGCGAGAGGTCCTCCATGGCGACCGCGGGGTGGATGCCTTGTTCTGGATGGGGGTAGTAGGCCGCGTCCCTAGCGAACCTGGAGGCCTCCGCACCGATCTCCCCACCCGAGAGGATCCCGCGCAGCTTGGTCGTGCTGGCGGGGGCTAGAGGGCATCGATTCTGGACTGGCAACCACTGCTGGACGGAATTGCCACGCGCTTGAGCCAGGCCGTTCCACACAGCGAACTCCCCTCGTGTCTGGGCGTCTGCTTGCATGAGAACATCTGGCCCAGGGCTCATGACGCCGTCGAGGAGGAGACCGTGGACGCTCTCAGGGCACAGGCCCCGGCGCACGGAGCCCCCGATCGCACCGCGCGAGGATCCACGGACGCTGCGTTTGTCCGAGCCGAGCGCGCACCGAAGGCGGTCCAAATCACGGGCGACATGCACCGTGCCCACGTGATTGAGAGCGTTGCACGACCTTCCGTTGGCCGCCTGCAGTTTGAAGCGGTCAGCAGCGAAGCAGAGGCGTTCTCGGCGTAGCCCGGCAGGACCTCGGTGAACCAGTCCTCGAAGTCACTGCACTTAACCAACGATCGAAACGTGAAATCGTCGCCACGCAACTCCTTCGTCTTGCGTTCGACCTCGTCGCAGGCGGCCACGGGGTACTCCTTCACAGGCTCTCCGTCATCTTGCTTGAAAGGGCACGGCGGAAATCCCCCCCTGGCGCTCTTGTTTACGTCCGCATAAGGGTTCATGCCCCTTTGCTTGAGGCCAAGAAGATCGAAAGACTGGCGTACGTTGCTGACTGGATGATCGAAATCCAAGCCCGAAATAACGCAAGACATTGTAGGGAACGGCCCGCCGCAATGGGGACAGCAGAGGCCCGTGCACTGCCGGCTGCTGGGTCGGCGGGATGCCACACCCGCGAAGGCATACGCGAGGTGGCGGCGCGCACTTCGATAGCACTTCATCGAGGAAAAGCGGCATGTTCAACCAACCAGCTTTGATAGCAATGGAGTTAAACGCGGACATGGAGACGGGGTACTCCGAGTCCCATCGCATCACCTGCGGATCACGGCATCTTTGATGAAACTTGCCTTGGCCTGCAGACGGCCCGGCTCGTCCGGACCATCACATGCCTCGCTCGAGGCCGTGGCGCACTGCGCGACGTCGGGCGCGCACAACACCGCGCTCGCCACGGCGTGAAGCACGAGCATGTCGGTCTACGAGTGCTTGAGCCAAAACGGTTCCGAAATGGCTACGGAATGAGCCAGCATGCAAATTAGCTGGAATATATAGCCAGGAACAAAGCTCTCCCACGCGCTCCTCGACCCACCCGCACGAATTCATTGCCGACACGGTGCGCCTGAGACCGTACTCCCAGGCGCACGCACACTGGACTCCACGACGACGCAACAACACGCGCCGCAAGAAACCAACTCGAAGGCGACGCGACCTAAAAATGATTTCGCTTCAGGCGATCCCTGCCGAAATATATCATTTGATATGATAATATGGGTCGCTATGCTATGATGTCATGTTATGATACGGTACATGGTGCTGTGTCACGATATGATATATTCTGCCAAGGTGGGTTATGATATGTTCGGTTATGGTATGGTATGTTGTGGTCTGTCGCCTGCTCTGGGTTGTTCTGCTCTGGTATATTATGTGCTGGTCTGGTATGTTTTGTGTTGTCATGGCATTGGTGTGTTATGTTATGTCATGTTATGTCATGCTCGTGTTATGTTATGTTGTATCATGGTGGTTTCTGTCATGTCCGTCGTCGCTATGCTCTGCTGTCATGTTATAAGAAAGTATGTGATCCGGTGTCATGGTATGATATGTGTGATCCGGTGTCATGATATGATATGTTATGTCAAGGTGCGTTATGTTAGGCTCGGTTATGTTCTCTTATCATGCGTTCTGTCGTCTTCTGCTCTGCCATGTTCTGTTCTGGTATGTTATGTGATGTTATCTATGTTGACAGCTCGGCTCTGTAAAATGTATTGTGATCCGCACTGCTAATATGTGTCGCTATGCGTTGCTGCGGTGTTTTTGTATGTTATGTGATGCCGTGTCATGATATGATACGATACAGCAAGGTTTGGTATGGTATGCTCGGTTATGGTACTTTATGATGTGTTCTGTCGTCGTCTGTGATGTCATGCTCTGCTCTGGCATGCTCTGTGCTGGTCTGGTATGTTTTATTGTGTCATGACATTGCTATGTTATGTTATGTCATGTTCTGTCATGCTCGTGTTCTGTTCTGTCATGTTATGGTGTGTTATGTTGTGTTCTGTCATGTTCGTCGTCGCTAGGAGCTGCTGTCGTGTGATGATACATTATGTGATGCTGTGTCATGATATGATATGTTCTGTCAAGGTGTGTTATGTTACGCTCGGATATGTTATGTTTTGTTGTGTTCTGTCGTGTTCGTCGAGGGCGCGAGGCGGGATCATCGGGACAATTTGGGGTCTGGCGGCCGCGCTGTGCAGGGCGGGGTTGGCCGGGGTGCCTGTTCTCGAGGTCTAACAACCCAACCTGTCGGGCGGGGAGCTATAATGCCCCATGTAGGCCGCCTGAGAAGGCCTGGAGGGAAGGCGGAGTCGGGGGAGCACACTGCATTTCCGATGCCTCGGCGATGCATCGTTAGCGTCGGGGATCAGAGCAGCAGACTCTAGATCGAGCTGTAACACACTTACACACAGGTTTACTTCAGACCTCGGGTCAGACTTGAAGGCCGAAAAAGACATACTGGTATGACATGGGATACATACAGGATCGCTGGTCTTCCTTCCGAGCGCACACCACTGACAGCTAGCAATCAAGCGCCGCGAGGTGAGAAACACGCGAACGCTTTCAGAGAGCCAGTACGACCGCACATGTATGGTCAGTTGGCTTCTTGTCTGGTCCAGCGTGCGAGTGTGATGATGCACTCAACTGGGTGTGATAAGTAACATCTGTATGTCGGCATGGTGGTCCTGCACGACTTTCTGAGTCTTGGTCAACTGGGAACAAGGCCTCGAGCGCGATTCATGCGTCTATCCGTTGTCTCCAGCTGGGAGCAAGACACAATACTACATATAATGGCAACGGGGAGTTCAGGAATTGTGGTGGGCGGAAGTTGGCCCTCCCAAACGCCTCGACACACCGATGGATCTGGATTTGGACATGTATCGTCACACGCAGCAAAACATTCGCCGGGAGACCAATCCTCAACGTCGTAATCTTCGATCTTCTCCAGGGCGAGACTTCGCGATTTATCATGAGCCCACCCCGCACCTTTGTGCTCTGCATGTTCAGAGTCTCTTCAATGCGAATAATTCAATGACCTTGTGTGATCTGTTCTGGCTTGACATGGAACAGCGGCCAAAACCACTCTGACTCAAAATTGCGACCGACCATCGATAGAAAATCGTTCGATCCCATTGATCGAACTGCCCGGCTCCATTCCCTCGCCGACTATCGCGGCATAGCGACGCATAAGGCACATACCTGAGATAGATGTTGTGTCACAAGCCTGTGGGTCGGGAATGTCCTTCATAGTGCAAGTTGCATCGCATGAGCGGGTCTTCCCGTGTGAGTCAATCCCGATCGACATACCCTGCCCTTGCTGGGAGAACTCGCGTAGATACCAACACACAGATATCCATGCCTCTAATATCACTGCTTCGACAACGCACCTCTGTGCTAGAATGTCACGCCGTCCTAAACATGCACCACTCCCTGAACGCAGCGCCTTCCTCACGGCACAAATATTGGTGAACAAAATCTCATCGACCGTGGACTTGTACTCGCCCCCATCCGCTTTTCGAAAAATCTCCTCCAGTTCACGATGCTCCTGTTGCAGGGCCACCTCGGTGCTGCTGGACTGGATGCTGGCATCTTGGCAACCGTGCGCTCAGAATTCGCCAACCCG